CCTTGCTCTTCACCCGCGGATCGGCGATGCTGCGACACGGTTTATTTTAACGTCTGATGTCACAAATAAATGGAAGATAAATATCGATCGCGTTATGCTTCTCGCGCACTTACGCCATTTATGATTTAATAGCCAATGTCGACAAAAAGCTTCCTCAATTCTCAATAATCTAACGATTCTGATAACTTCGGTCATTTTTCTTTGTAGAGAAACGATTATAACGCTCGATCGTTACAAATACTATACGCTAAAAATAACGTTTAAGTAATCATCAATTTTATTTGTGGTGAGTGTCAATGTAGAAAAAAATATCGGTTCAATTTTTTAAAATTTCTATACGGAGTTTGATAATAAAATTATAGGATTTTAAAAAGATGCTTATTTCTTTTATTAGACGATATAGTATTAACATAATTGACACTATATACATTATATTTAACATAAAATAGGTATAAATCTCAATATGAATTTTAAGTTACAAATTTTGCCTTCATGTATATTACAACGAAATATTTACTATAAAGCAATATTTTAAATATTTTAATAAATTGTTTATAAGTGTGGAAAATGTTTAATACAATACCAATATTTTCGATCACGAAAAGGTAGTATACGTTTTATCTCTCGGCGTATCTTGAATCGTTTGTAAAGACAAGTACTAATGAACTCCATTAAAGTCTATTTTTCACTCGCAGCTTTAATACAATTAACCTTTTAAATATATTTACAAAATTCCGCCTCGCGGGGGGCTAAATTACGAGCTTTCACACCATCATCAATACTTCACAGGGCAGGGAAGAGTCACAAAAAATTTCATGCCACGCTGCATGCATCCTATAGTGTTCGTTAACCCCGGCGATCATAAATCATTGACAGCGTCCCATCTCTCGCGTTGCGCTGCAAACTCATCACACATTCCCGATTATACAATTTTTTGCCGTTATTTTCAATATCAAGATCGTATATTATAGTTTGATATAGAGGACAACAAGTTCTACATAAAAAACGGATGCGATAAAAAAAAATAACTAAATTTTTCGTCCGAAAAATTTTCGTATAAAGTGAGTGCATGTTGAATATGTAAAGGGATGTGTTTTCCCTGCAAATTCCATAAGATTAATCTCTTTTGCAAATGTTACGAAAAAAATTGATTACAACACAAGCACAATGTCTCTGGATTCATAAAACTAATATATTTGTAATCTCTTTAAATTGGCAATTACAATTATCATTCATTGCTGATTTTATTACCGCTTCATTTCGCAAATTAATCACACATAAAGAGGAAGAAGTTTTACACTATTTTACACGGTCCCTCGTGAAATCCCAAGTTGAGCAACGCTGCGCGTCGAGCCGTCTGTAGAAAAAATGCCGTAACATAAATATTACGCAACGATTATTGCACAACGCAATTAAACGCAACACGGTTTCTCGGGGTATATAAAGAAAGACCCTCGATATATATATATATATATATATACACAGTGCGACAAATAATTTCCGGAATAAATGGTGCTATAAAAATGAAACGAATTGAGTTTTTTCAGTTTTCTCTTTTTCTTTATTCAAAATATTCTCCTTCTGATTTAATACACTTTTTGCAACGATTTAACAATGACTGCTTTAGTACATTTTGTGTTATTGCCTCCAAAGCACGCGTCAAAGCCTGTTGAATTGTTTCCACATCTTCAAAATAGCATCCTTTCAACTTTATTTTCATTTTGAGGAATAAAGAAAAGTCATAAGGCGCTAAATCAGGCGAATACGGCGAATGATTCAACACGCAAATCTGATTTTTAGCCAAAAATTGATTGTGAGCTATTTTGAAGATGTGGAAACAATTCAACAGGCTTCGACGCGTGTTTTGGAGGCAATATCACAAAATGAACTGGAACAGTCATTTGAATCATTGTTGAATCGTTGCAAAAAATGTATTGAATCAGGAGGGAAATATTTTGAATGAAGGAAAAGAGAAAATTGAAAAAATTCAATTTGTTTCATTTTTATAGCACCATTCCGAGAAATTATTTGTCGCACTGTGTATATATTGATATATTTATTTTTATGTTACTTCACTGATTGCGAGTAAGAAATGCGTCTTTTTTTATCAACAATAAAAAAAAGAAAGAAGTGGAAGAGAAGACGCGGAATCAACTTGCCCGCATTCGCCGAGATTGCCAGGAGGAGCCGTGTGTTAAGCGATTGCACGCATTTAAGTTAATTGCATGAATTACGCTCTGACGGCATGATATTGATATTACGGGGTAATACGCGCACGTGGACGGCTTCGCCAAGTAGCAATGACAATTTCGTGAATTTAGACTGACGTTTTCGTACGGCATTCGTTAAAGACAGTTTATTTTTTTAAGATCTATATAAAATTAATTAAGAACCTTTATTTAACTCGTATCTAATATTTGAAAATACATTTCATTAATTCGAGCGGTTACTTGAAAAGAAGTAAATATGTTTAATCTTATCAAGATGTTAATAAAAGAAGAATGTTTTAAATATATAATTATTAGGAGTTATCTTTAGAGACTATATTTTAAATAATTACATAAATTTGTAAGATAAACTAGAACTGTATAAGATGAACTAGAATCTTTATTTAACTCATGGCTTATATTTGAAGATATCTAGTTCGAGTGATTACTTGAAAAAAAGTAAATATGTTTAATCTTATCAAGATGCTAATAAAAGAAGAATTTTTTAATATATAATTAGAAGTTATCTTTAGAGACTACCATAGGTATATTTTTCAATAATTACATAAATTTATAAAATACACCAAAAGTTCGAGCAGTTACTTGAAAAGAAGTAAATATGTTTAATCTTATCAAGATGCTAATAAAAGAAAAATTTTTTAATGTATAATTATTAGCAATTATTTTTAGAGATTACCTTTCAAATAATTACATAAATTAAAAAAATAAAATAATATAACACACGTTGAATTTTATTACATTTTTAAGTGCGTTATATCAAAATAGAGATATTTTTCACCGCGGACAAAATAAGCAGATTACAGCGAAAGTGCATAATAAAAAATGTAAATGTCACACTGACCTACTTCCCCCAATTTGCTTAATATTTAATTTAGCGAATTGAGTTTAAAGAACATATACTTTCTCCGCTTTATGGAAATTTTCATTTGTCAATGATGGCGAAAAAATTATTTTTATTATTCACTTTTATGCAATATATAGCTTCTCGGATCATCTCTTTCGCGATATTTAAGTGGAACGACACTGTCCTTCGCGGTAACGTAATAGTGACATTGAGATTATACGCCAACGGTTATATCATTGCATAAATAACAATAGCCTTGAGATACGACCGAGCTTTTAAGCTTGAGAAGTCTCTTTAATTACATTTGTCACTTCGTGAGAATTTCTACCATTATATTAATTATTTTACCAATTAATTAACATTACATTGCAAACAATGTTCTTCATGAAAACTTGTCATTCAGAAAAATTTCGTATTACTTTTGCAACTTTACGTGTCTACACGAAAATAATTTCCAGATTATTTCGACTAATATTTTCTTCAGTTACTCCTTATTTGGTACGATAATCCTCGAGTCTTATAAAAAAAATACTCGCTACCTCTGGCGCGCGCATCATATTTTGAGCAAACGATAAAGCGTCATAAGCTGCGGAACTAAAATGAGGCATGTGCAGCGAGATAAGCAAGAAAATGGGCAGGAGAAAAGAATAACGATGCCCCGGACGAGCGTTTCTTGAGAGCCCGCTCGGAGTCCTGGAGTGCGTCGTTGACACAAGCAGAACTTTCATCTACAAGGCAAATGTGTGGAAGCACTATTCCGTTTTCGTTCTCTTCCACGTTATTCAAATAGAGCGCGGCCTTCGTGATGCAGTGGCGTATAGTCGTGAAATTATATGTTTACTAGTGCTATTAATTAGTTAATTCGTTAAATGCCATTGGAGAATTTGTTAATACATGTGGACACTTTATGAAATTTTGGAAAGAAGAGCAACGTGTTTTTTTTGCCCGAATTTCCATACAGCAAATAATTTTTCCAGCTAGAAATGATGCGAACATTAACTTATATCAGATAAAATTATTTCATATGTGAAGCGTCAAATTACATAAACGCTTCTTCTTATTATTACAATTCGTATTCTTCTTCTTCATATTAATCATTTTGTTGAAAAATAACTTTTTATGAACGAATTAACTAGCTGTATATATTTTAAAATTGCATCGTTCAAGAACAAGATTTTATTCATTACACAGGCCTTACAACTTTGCAATGTTTAAGGTTGAGAAACGAGATTCATCAGTTTTGAAATGCAAACAAAAATTGCAAAATTAAAATTAGATTGTAATGTTCATCATTTTCGAGGAAAATAAGAAAAATGTGAAAGTACAACAGAAATGTCCTTAGTACTTTGTTATTTCAAAATCTATGGCCATTAGTCAGTTTCGCTTACAGGCTTACGCCACTGGTCGCAATCAGTGTTCCTCTTCCTCTGTCCTCTTCCCTGTCCTCGATTTCGATTTTTTTTTTACGACATAACAAAACCGTTTTTAATCAATTTTTATCACCGTCCTCACAACAAGATCCGTCCTTTCAGATACTTTATTTCCATTCTAGATAAATTTAATTTATCAAGTTGCGTAATATACGTTCTCTGTTAGTGCGTATTTCCCAATTATCGCTGCAACGTTTGGCGTTAATAAGGTTGCGTTTTCGAGCATGAAATTAACGATATTAAACTTCACGAAGCTCTTCTAAGAGTTTCCTATTTTCCGACGTGTCATGCGTTTTGCAGGATAAATGAAAATTTCACAAATCCCGACTGTGGATTCGATCCACGCGGTCGGCTTACGTGCTAAACCGCTTATTGGTGAAATCCAGTGGCGTTTCAGTCGGTTTGAGGAACCTCGTCGAAATCGAGTCCGATAAAGGAGACAGTCTGCGTACCGAGCTCAAAGAATATCCCTAATCAGATACTTACAATATGTTGCAGATCTGCAAAGACTCCTACAAATGCAACTGTAAGGGGATAAAGGGGCAGCCAGGATTTCCCGGGATTCCTGGGCCCGAAGGAACGGAAGGACTGCCAGGTGACATCGGACCCGATGGACCCCCCGGACCCAAAGGCGAGAAAGGAGCGGGAGGAGAATATGGATCCACCGGAGAGAAGGGCTATCGAGTAAGAAAAATTGATTAATTTTCTTTTATTAACCCTAGGTCACCCTACCGGGGTGACAAGTGTCCTGATGCGCAATTTCTGTCAGATTTCTGAAATTACATTTCTTTAAACCATTTCTTGAATATATTATTAAAATATTCTTTATTTGATTCTTGTTTATCTGTCTTTGTCAGGCTCTGTAGTATTGATTTCACATGTGTTGAGCTAAAAAATATGCCTTCCGTTCGGAAATATAACGTGACAAAGACAGACCTCGATATGGCAGAAAAGGTAACCAAAAATAACAATGGTGACCTAGAGTTAAATAGATTTTATTATTTTTTCTCTTTTACGCGAATACACAATTTTTCAGGATTGTATGAAATGTAAATTAGGATTAATTACGTAATAATATAATGATGTATAATGCGAGAATATGAGCCTTTTTAGTTCTACGTAAATCCAGCATAAATCCATTATTGATGATGCAAAATTAAAAAAAAAAAGAAACGTAGTATTAATTTGTGGTATAAAACTTGAAAATATTCGTTGAAATTAAGTGTTTACATAAAACCCGTTTTATTTCATATTTCCATATCGGAAGATTTAAATAAACCGTTGCGTAAAATCTTTCCTAAAAATCAACTCTTTTTTTTTTCAAGAGAGCTTGTAATTAATATTTTTCAGAATCTTTAAAAATTTGATAGATATTTATTAAAAACAATATTTATTTTTATTCCACGTAAAATATTTTTAATACAAGGCGAATGTATACGTAAAACTCCTGCAACTATTATAATTAATTAATATGTGAAAATTACTTTCTTTGTACATATCTACTTTTAGTGCAATAATTCTGTCTACATGTCTTGCATATATGCATACGCGACTGCCAGTTAAACCGATTGCAACGGTAATTAGTTTCTTTACAAGCGAGTGTTTCACGTTTTAATTAAAGTTCGCGACATGACGCGAGTTTGTTTGCAATAACCATTGCTAACAATAAATTTAATAAAATGATATTCGCTTCTTTGAAAATAAATGTACTGACGTGTATTTCCGCAAGGATCTGTTTTAACAATAAATTATATATACAGTAGAAAATACAACGATAAAAAAATATACGTGTCCTGTTTTACTAACAAGTCGTTTATGAAATTCAAATTTTACTTTGCCAAAAGTAAGCGAGCACTTACTTGGATTTTTTTGAATCGAAATCAGTTGCATGCTTACTGCCGCCCAATAGTCCACTCCATTCAGAAATTGTAAATGGATTAAATTCGCGAACCGGAATGGCAATATACCGAGCGTCTCCGAAACTACGTGTGCGACCATTAGAGAGATGAAAAAAGAGAAAGGCATCTCCATAATTGGGTCGCCGTGAGCGCGGAAGGGTTGAAAGATGAAAAAAAAAACGAAACGCTGATGAGAACGGCAGACGTATATACGTCGCATTCTCGATTCTCCATTCGAACGCGATTGTTCGCCGCGCTACATGTGCTCCGAGCGGGGACGGGAGATAAAAAAGACGATGGAAAAAGAACGAGAGACGGAAAGAAACGCCGCGTGGCGCGTCACCGACCAAGAAACAGAACGCTTCCAAATGCGGTGGAAGAGGGAAGATCGCGAACGCACACGAGAGAGAGAGGAATTACGGGCGGACGGACGGACACCCACGACGCCCGCCCGCACCACCGACGTGCCGTTACGCGAAGCTGCAAATCCGCTGTGTTTCGCAATTTGTCGACCGGCATCGATGCGCGACACCGGGTGCGATATGATATGACACCGGGCACCGGGCGTGACGGAACTCGCCGCCGCTTCGGAAACGACATGCAAATCGCGCCGGCGATTGTGATATCCTAAATTCGAGAATATGACCTACGTGTCTAAATCGCTTCGATAAATCTTGCGCGGGAATATTCCTCGACCAATTAATTCTGTCTCGTATTTAATCGTAATTTGTTGCAAAATATCAAAACCGCAAGACGAACCGATCACGTAATTTTGCAGTAGAATTTTTAAGTTGTATCTGCATAATTGAAAAATAATTCTGAGAATTTAAAGTTTAATTTAAGCTTTTAATTAACGTGAAATTAGAGTTTTAATTAAGAATCCTATAGATTCTGCTTCAATATTAATTGCGAATTTCGAAATCAGGAATTTGATACACACACACACACACACACACTCTCTCTCTCTCTCTCTCTCTCTCTCTCTCTCTCAAATTGATAAAGAATTTACTTACTTTATTCACAAATATAAACTATATCTGTTTTCGACGAATTTTCATTTATAATTGTACATTATAATTTTTTTAACTATTTTACGTGTTATATTTGTTAACTGCTTGTTTATTCAAAAACAACTTTTTAATTCGACAAATAAATCTTTGAAGGAAATGTGCAAGAATTTTTTTGCGTGTATGCTGCTAATTACCTTACATTGAGCATTCTACACTGCAATTTTATGAAAGAAGCGATAATTACGAAGAGACAAATGGACAATACCGACTTTGTGAATTATGATTCCAGAAATTTGTATTTGGGATAATAAAATTAAATCGCGGAACCGTATTATTATCGCGTCGTTACACGGGGTGCAGAACAATTTAACGTCGCAATTACCGAAATGTCACGTATAAATAAAACGTTACGGCTGCGCGCGGTATGATAAAAGTGTTGGTGCACGTACAAACGTGGTCGACACATCTCGTGCTTATTAATCGTGCAAATTATTCATTCGCGTGCGGACTGCGAAATAGGACGGGCGTCAATCTTCGTAACTGAAACTTTAAATTAAATGCTTTACATGACGATTATAATTTGACATCTTTTACACGTGCCCGCGTTATAATTACTTACGTATTCAGTTGGGTTTATTGATTAACAGTGATAAATACGCAGGGCAGTCTGGAAACCGTAATAAATAAACTGTTTGAGAAGGACATATGCGATTTAATTTGCAATAAAATGTTTTTCTTATTTAAAAAAACACAGAAATTTAATAATAAAAATTTAAGAATTTGAAGATACTTTTAATACAGTGCAATTAATTCTGCTACTAAAGAATCGTTACGGAGACGAAAAAGCTACCTCTTGCTTTTATAACTGTAAAGCATTCCAGTTTTATATTTATCTTTTTAAAATCCCTTCTTGATCGTTTCGAAGTTTAAACCAAGAAGATTATCTTTACTAAGAAGCGCTAACAGTAGACCTCCAACGTGATTTATTTTCTATCGTGGGCGTACATTTTGTAATAGTCTAACTGGAATTGGAGAAGAAATCCCATGGAAAATAACATCGATAACCGGAAGAGGCTTGTCGCGTCTTTTCGGTACATCGCGAACGGAAAGTCCACTTTCAGGAAACTTTCGATCGGAGCGCAGACAGGAAGTGAAACACCTCTCTCCGTCGTAAATCCTAATTACACAAGAACGAAAATTCTGGTTATTACCATGGGTACCCTTGTGTTGCCACGTGTGCCACAATTCGCCAATTACGACGGCGCGCAGCGTGTCACACATTCTCGTTCGGGGCGTGCATCACTTGCTAATTGTGTTACATCGATCGTCCGACCGCGATGCGTGTCAGTAATGTCTTGCATCTTTGATCGGTGAAACGTATAATCGGAATCTTCATAAATATTACAAAAATCCAAATTGCATATCTACAATTCAATAAAACTCCGCTCGAAGGAAATTCTAATTTAAAGCTCGGTTACACATAGAAAGACTTAAAAAGCTAAAAAATAAAATGCTTATTTAATTTATGCATAGAAAGTAGTGCGAGAGATTTGTACACTTTACAGACATTTTTTTTCTTACATCAATAGAATTATTTAAGTGTAAGAAAAATGTAAGAACGCAAAGAGCAATATTATATAGAGTTCATAATTTAAACTGAAGGCAATATGGAGATATAAATCTGTTATTTATAGAATATCCATTTCCTTTCAAAAGAATATTTTTCTTAATTAAAGAGATTTCTTATTTAAATTGCACTTTATAAATTATATAGACTTATCTCTTTATTCGCGCGTGTCAAAGTTTCGGCAAGCGGCAATAATCGATGGGCCGTAAGAACAGTAGGAATCAGGTCGTCGAGAAAACGACGAGTCCGCAGAAAGGAAGAGAGAGCGAGCTTATCGCCTGGCAATGCGAGGAAGCCGTTTAAAAGGCGCAAGGCATGACGAATTACGCATTCTGTCGCAGTAATGAACGGCCGTCGATTTGGGAACGCGTTTACCCCTTCATCTTCTTCTTCTTCTTCTTCTTCTTCTTCTTCGTTCTCCTCGTCCTCCTCCTTCTCCTCCTCCTACTGCGGCAAGTCTTCACTGCTGCTTCCTCGTTACTCCTTTTTTCGCGCCTCGACATGTACGTACGTGCGGATTACATCAGGCGTGTCTCTCTCTTCTGGAAGGGAAAATGACGTCACGGTCCTTTCTGGCCGGCCAAAGAGAAGAGATGCACGCAACCGGTACGATATCTCGTACTGCCTGAGCTGCAGTCACGCCGGTCACTACTGTCGAGTTGATTTACGAGGTCCTCGCGAATTTTTGTTTAAAGAAACCAAAAAAAAAAAAAAAAAGAAAGCATGTCTCCTTTCTTCCTTCCTCCCCGGCATCTTTGGATTTATCGGACCTCCCGAGATTTTTAATGCCATCGCCTATACCGAGGGATCTACTTCTCGTCTTTAAGCCACTTTGTCGCAAGACGAGGACATTGATGGACTCGGGGATTAGAAGGAAATCCCCGTAGGTTTAAGGAGATTGCAGTTCGAGATCGTACGTGCGATCGGGGAATTTCGGTGGAGAGTTTCCCTGAGATGAGCCCGAGTGAGGCGATTGTATCTTAACTTCAAACTCGCTCGACGAGAGAGAGAGAGAGAGAGAGAGAGAGAACTCAGAAAGATAAAATTATTTCATAACGAAAATTATAAAAGACGGGACTGGCAAAGTATATAAAAATTCCTTTTACAAATTTCAACGAATTTTTCAGAGAGTTAGCAGTCTGTTTTCTT